TTCAGACTATTTGAGAGCTGTTTTGAGTGTTGTTGGATTGGGATTGATGAGAGTAAACAGAAAGTGCACTCTTTATTTATCCCTTAAGGAACATTCTATCATCATCTTTCCAAATGCATTTGTATCGTTTCGGTGGCTGAAAATGAGTTAAATAATCAAATTGGCCAATTACATTTACCAAAAAGACCCCCCCCCATTTAAAACTGAAGAAAGCTAAGCATATTATATGTTGGTGTAAAAGAAGGTTTGTTCTGTAAAAATGCTTATCGTGTCAGGCAAATGGAACATGAAAGCATTGGAAAAAGAAGTGTGAAAAATGTTTTCCTAGTTCCTGTCATCTCAGCAATACTTCTAGTTTACGTTATCTGTCTTCCCATCGTGGCTCCTTTGAATCCACCAGGACACCCTCAACTCTCAAATATGGTGAGAGAAGCCATCTGGGGGACAGAAGAAAAGCAGAAAGCCAAAAGATGGAGGCCCTGCTGAGAAAGAGGCAGTCGGAAAGGAGGCAGCCGCTGAGAAAACTGGGCTATGGGAGGCGGCTTTTGCATGAGGGGAAAATTTCCTCAGATGCAGCCAAGAGTCGGAAGAGGAGAAGAGTCAGGAAGCCCAGCCAGGTAGGAACCGGCAGAAAAGACGAAGAATAACAGACGTGGACCAAACAGAAATAGAAAACAGAAACTAAAAAAGATAAAAGACAGACTGAACTCTGGGAAAAGGAGTTCAGCTCTATAGAGCGTGACAGGGATTAAGACCACAGAAATATAGAAGTCAGCCATAAACAAATATATTGGAGACATAGAATAGAAAGAGATGAAAATATGGTTAAATTTTGCTTCCCCCAGGATCAGCATGAGGGAAAAGTTTCCCTCAGATGCAGCCGAGAGTCTGAAAAGGAGAAGAGTCGAGAAGCCCAGCCAGAAAGAAACCGGCAGAAAAGATGAAGAATTAAAGACTTGGACTGAACAGAAATAGAAAACAGAAACTAAGAGATAAAAGACCAATCAAACTCTGTAGGAAAGGATGTAGCTCTAGAGTGACCGTAGGGATAGATGGGGGTTAGGACAAAAGAAATACAGGGGTCAGCAATAAACAAATACATTGGAGATATAGAACAGAAAGATATGAAAATACAGTGAAATTGGACTTTAAAGAATGTAGTGTAGATAAAGAGCTTATAGAAAATAGTTAAAGTATAAAATAGTTTTAGTCTTAAGATTAATTTCTGAATTAGTTGAAGGCCTTTTAATTTACAATTCCTGGTTTTTTGTTACCTTTCCTTTCCTGAAATAAAAGTCTCCCCCCAGCCACTAAAGGAAGAAACACAAAAACTGAACCTTCCAAGTTTCCAGTGCTTGAGCCACTCTGGCTCAATCTGGTTATTATCCACAACAGGGAAGACCCCTGCTCTGGGGAAGCCCTCCCCCTCCCTTGTTTGGGGGTCTGGGTGCCCCAGACAGAACCAGACAGACCCTCCTGGTCTCTAAATCCTCAGGCTGGGACTGCTCCCCCCAAGCCTTGCAAGGAGCTGAGAAGGAGGGAGGGGTGACAGGCAAACTCTGGAGGAAGCCGTTTTTGGGGAAGGGGAAAGAGGGGCTTCCTCCTCTCAGAAAAGAGCCCCCAATTCTTCCCACAGGTCTGGCCATATCGGGAGGTCCCTTTGAAGTCTCTGCAGAGAAAGCAGATGGAGGCCAAAGACCCAGCAAGAAAAGGTCTTGGTGGGACTCAAATGGGAGTCTGGGAAATATCTGTTCACATTCAGTGCACTCATGAGGATCCATATTGGTATCTGAATGATTCCTTCTCACAGCAACAGCATCGCTCTTTGGAAGATGAGGTGCAACCTGACCATCTTGCACTCCCTGTTCCAGATTGAGGAAGAGCCCTTGTGATATCTACGGTTGCAACAGAAGTGCTATCAACAAGTTAAAATGAGACCCTCCAATGCCCTAGAGAGGCCAGACTTCCAGCCAGGATCCTTGCTTCCTGCCTGGTTGTCCTTGGAGTTAAATTAGGACTCCCAGACCTGGGCTGCAAAACCAGAATGGCCACAAGGTAGTCGCAGTGAGTTACAGAAAACATGTGTAGCATGACTTCATTCATATAAAACCTAACATTTAGCAAGATGCAAATTTTATTTACCTATTTATTTGCTGGGCATATATGCCGCTCCAAACTCTTGAATACTCTAAGCAATGTACGTACCCAAAGCCTGTTGTTGTTTAGTCGTTAAGTCGTGTCCGACTCTTCGTGACCCCATGAACCATATTGCGCCAGGCCTTCCTGTCC